CCCCCCCAAAAAAAAGTGTATTCTGCATCGATTTATTTTTTTCCGAAAACGAATGCGCAATGTTACATACCTCCGCTTTGGCCGAAAAGGGTGTGTGTTCTGCATGAAACAGCCCTTTCGAAAATGAATGTGCATCCTGCATACATCAGCTTTTCGACAAAGTGTATGCAATATGCTTAAATCAACTTTATCGTAAATGTAAGAGAATTTTGCTAATTTTCTAATGTGAATGTGCGTCCTGCAGATATCAGATTTTTCAACAAAGTGTATACATTCTGATGAAATCAGCTTTTTCGATAATGAAATTTATTCTGCATAAATCAGTAATTTTCTTAAAAAAAATAGCATACACCAGCTTTTTTCCGGAAAAAGGTATGCAGTCTGCTTAAATCAGCTGTTTCAAAAATAAAAGTGCAAAATGCATAAATATTTTTTTACCGAAAACAAATATGCATCCTGAATATATCAGGTTTTTTTGGAAACTGGTGTGTATTTTATTTAATTAATTTTTTTTTGGAATAGGGTGTGTCTATACTGCTGAAATTACCTTTTTCGAGAAAGGGTGTGTATTCTGCAGACATCAGTATTGAGGTTTAATCAATATTGTGAATGATTTCATGTTTTTCAAATTATTTTCAAGCCACCTTTTACCTTATCTAGTTTGCCGTCGTTAGGCCAGATATAGACGTTCGCTCCCGCATCTAGTACCACTCGGATATCCTCTATATCTATGTAATCCGTAATGTTGATTACTCTAGTCTCGCTCACTTCTGTCATTCCGTGATCGGAAAAAATCATGATATTGACGTCATCACGAAGATCACGTGACTCGAGCTCGTCCAATAACTTGAACATTTCGGTGTCAATCTCCATCAGTTTCTGGTTCAGCTGTGACGATGACGGTCCATACTTGTGTCCATACTTGTCTGGCAGCTCCACGTATATACCTGGTTAGAGGATTAAACCAGAAATATATTTAAAAAGATAGAAGGTAAAATGCTATTTTGGAGACAAAAAAATATAAAAGCACATGTGTAAATGTCAAATAAGTACAATAAGAAAATCCCTTATTGCTTATTAGCACAACAGACTTGGTTGAAATGTGGTAGATATGTGCAGATAAAAGACAGAGTTAAATCTTGGATATAAATAATACGAAAACACCTGTGTAAGTATTGAAATTATATAATTAGACAATCCTAATTACTCATTAATATATAAAACTTTGTTAATATGGTAAATGCATGTCTCTTAAAACATCGGTCAACTATGAAATATCAATCAATTGAAAAGGCTCTAGATATATATAAAACCTGAAATGTGCTGTAAAGCTCCTTAGAGTACTTTTGCAAATTATATAGGGCGCTACACAAACATTTATATAGGGCGCTACACAAACAATTATATAGGGCGCTACACAAACAAATATATAGGGCGCTACACAAACATTTATAGAGGGCGCTACACAAACATTTATATAGGGCGCTACAAAAAAAAAAAAATAGGGCGCTACACAAACATTTATATAGGGCGCTACACAAAGAATTATATAGGGCGCTACACTTACAATTATATAGGGCGCTACACAAACATTAATATAGGGCGCTACACAAACATTTATATAGGGCGCTACACAAACATTTATATAGGGCGCTACACAAAAAATTATATAGGGCGCTACACAAACATTTATATAGGGTGCTACACAAAAAAATATATAGGGCGCTACACAAACATTTATATGGGGCGCTACACAAACATTTATATAGGACTCTACACAAAAAATTATATAGGGCGCTACACAAACATTTATATAGAGTGCTTCACAAAAAATTATATAGGTCGCTACACAAACATTTATATGGGGCGCTACACAAACATTTATATAGGGCGCTACACAAAAAAACTATATAGGGCGCTGCACAAACATTTATATGGGTCGCTACACAAACATCTATATGGGGCGCTACACAAACATTTATATAGGGCGCTACACAAAAAAACTATATAGGGCGCTACACAAACATTTATATAGGGCGCTACACAAAAAATTATAAATTATAATATATAAATATGCAATATGGAAATTTACAGATGTTATATTCCTAAAACCAGCCCCTTTTGTATGATCTGGTGTATTAAATAGCCGACCTGACGTCCTATCACGCCCCTAGCGCGTCGATTGACGCCAGAGAATCCTAACGCGTTCCTATACCAACAAGTTATATATATATCAGGGAATGCCTATATCTAAATGGAAAATAACTTTATAATTTAGAATGGCATATCAACTTATTGACCTCGTTTAATAAATTCATTATAACATGGACACTCATGTCAGATCTTCTATGTATTAGTTTAAACAGTATTTTATTCAATATATGGCAGTGACAAAATAATACAAAATCAACAAAGAGGATTTGAAAACAAGTATAAGTACTTATATTAATTCGTCTCCTTCTATGTATTGAACCGTATTTTTCAATGTGCAAGACGGTATGAACCACGATAAATCGATGTTTACAAACATATATACCTAGCCGGATTCATGGTTGATATGTATTCAACTAATTTGCGTTAATACCGGTATAAAAACGGTGGATCTGTACTTTCCTATTGTAACTGACGCAGTAGTACCCTTAACCTTACATGATCGAATTGTTACTACTGACAAAATCAGACTGCTCAATAGCTTAACCTATTTGCGTCAATGTATTTTGACCTCATATTTCTCTGAACCCAGCCTCAAAGAACCATGAGGACGCCCTTGTTACAAATCGCTACTTGGTAAAGACAGAAATATATAACATGTACTATTATCCCACAACCTAGCACAGCCCAAAGACATCTTACCGACAACGTCCGCGGATCCGTTAGAGAAAAGTTCCAGGCCCTCCGCAATGGCTGCTTGCATGTCTTTCAGTTTGGGGTAGGTAAACATTGGGTACTTTTTACAGTAAGTTGGATCCACTCCCCTGATGGTGACCTCACATCCGGGCCACGAGTAGAAATAAGACCGCTTTCCCTAAACAGAAATAAACGTCAGATACAAGAGTGTTTGGGACTCTGACCCAGTCGCTATGTCAAAAATCAAGTTGAATGGATTGTGAGAGACGTCATGCATACACGTTGTTTAGATGTACTGATATGATGTACAACGAGACCTGTAAACAACCGAAGCCTGCTGTCTTATTGAGATGTTGATTTTCGTACTAAATGGTGTGAGCTAACATCAGTGTATCCCAATTCATGTAGAATCAACAGAATTACGTTTATAAACAGCTGGAAAACAACCAAGAACTTAGTCTGTACTGTATAAGGCAAATGACGCGAAAGGAATGCCAAAACGATTTCATATGTACAGTAACTCTGTCCCACGTAGGCGAAACCTCGGAGGTTACAGCACAAGAGGTACGTGGTTATCGTGTCATTCTAGCTCGGGTTAGTTTATTTTCATTATATAAAGACACGGTTAGCCGTGTGTCTTTAACAATTTCAAAATTAACTAGATTTGATCAAGATCAAAACACGGGATTTCCAACAAGAAAATGAACAAAGAAATGTTCTCGGACTAACGATCGCTTTTATACGTTTCCCTTCGTTTTCCTTCTCTGACAAACCTTGTAAATTGTTCCTGGACATATTGAAGCTGACTATCATGCCTAGTAAGTTTGGAAGATTTACCTTGTTTGTGGATAAGGTCAGATCTTTGATTCAATGGGACCACAGTCTCTACAGAGTTTAAATTTTCTGTAAGAGTTATTGCCCTTTGTACAGTGCAGAAAATGTTTAAAGCGATATTTTGTAGGTTTGTCATGTTCATTGATATGCATCATGATGTATTGACCTTGAAACTTAATAAATCTTCTAATTAGGATGCATTCTTTTAAATGTGCTGTAAAAATAAAGTTTTTAAGAATTTTGAAATTTTCATTTTTTGGATCATTTGGCCCCAGTTGACCTTGCTTGACCTTGAATTAAGTTCAAGGTCAACGATATCCGATAAATGCTGTAGACAAGGATACATTCTATGGATGTGCCAAATATCAACTTTGTATGCGTCCTGATGACTGAGGAGAAGAGTTTAAAGTGCATTTTTGAAATCTTTATTATTTCTTGAGATAGAGTGTCCACAAGATATGCGGAAATAAGAATAAGAATTTTAAAGAAAAAACATAACAATATCAATAGGTATTTCCATACTAAATGGAAATCCCTAATTAACGAGAGTTACATTGACATGATAATCAATCATAGCGAGGTTTGGGGCCTTTTTCTCCCACAACGTTCAGATAGTATATCTAGAAAACTGTATGTTGCTCTTTGTCATACATAATTCCTGTTTCTTATCGGCTAAAACAATTGCCAGGAATGATCACGTCATAATGGAAAGTGACGTTGCAAAGCATTGTTACTTGTCGTCATAATTAGAGGATTAACCAAAGAATTCACGTGCAGTGTGTTACACACTAGTGGGTATTAAAAAAATGTTTACTAACTCCTAGCCGATTCATCCCACAAGTTGGTAGGGAGGCCTATAAAAAACAAGTCTTTTGACATATGCAATGAAGACAGCTGCACCAGGACAACATTACCGTAAGTAACTGACGCCGTCCTATGTCATAACCTTTTGTTTAGTTATGTTGTTGTAATGGTATTGTAAACTGGGTTTTTTTTCTCGACATTAGTATGGTGTATCAAACTTTTCCCACCATTTTTTAATATACCGTTTGTAAGATTTCCTTTCGTGTAGAAATAGGACTTAATTCAATGCTTATTAGCATGGTCAACGCCGAATTGCTTTTGATATCCTAGGTAAGACGTTGGGTAAATGGTGATGGTCTGATTTTAAATCAAAACTGTGAGCTTTAAAGCTTATGATCTTCATCGAAACATCATTCTTTGAACAGAACAGGATGTGTTAAACGGTTACCAGAATCACCAGTGATTTACCATTGTCTTTGTCCCGTATGACACTATCAAAGTTTCATTGCATTTTTGCACTTCATGTTGAATTGTCACTTCCGTTTGGTGTTCATATTGACTATGAATGCCAACTGGAAGCAGATCAATGTTTACATTTTCATAAGTTAGATATTTCATCTGATTGAAAATCAAATAATCAAAATTCAAGATTTATCTTAAATAAGCGTACGTTTCGTGTATGCCTGTTTATAATTAGAAAAACCAACTTCCAAGCAGAGCCATTTGTGACGTCATGAAAATGGTGTCAATTGATTTGACCTCATATACCAGTCTAAAACGACATCTTTAAGAGCATTTACAGTCGGCATAGACATTTTATCGTAAACCCCCGATTACTCGGATTTTCGTCCACTAAAACCTTGCTCGACCTAAACTCACCATAGCTGTTCATAGGACGTAAACCACAAATAAACCAGATCTGATAAATGTTCGCCTTACACAGGTTGTCTAATTAGCTAAAGAGATTAGACAATACCAAGATATGTAGTCCAGAATAATTGAATAATTTGACAGAATAAATGCATACCTCAACAGAATGTATAGGTTTAAACCATTACTTTGAGTTTTAACAATATTTTATTGAGAAATTAGGAAGTACATATATTTTAAAATATATATAGAAAAGGGATTTGTTTATGAGGTTAGACATCACGTTAACCCATCTGCTGATAAATGATGCGCATGAATGTACGGAGTTTAACTACCATGAATTACTATAAAATACAATGATTTATAACAAAATACACAAAGTATGTAGTTCAACCCGACACATGTTTGTGTACTTAAGGAGTTATATGAGTCACGTGGTACGGTTAGAAGCTTTGAACGCATTTGATGACGTGAAGGGCTGGAGACATGTCGACGGCTGCTGAGTGGAATTTAGCAGTTTTACAATAAATTAAAACTCCCGTGGCGAACTCTTGTGCTGGAGTTTAATTTACGACACTATTGTATTTTAGGGTATCACTTTATACCATAACAAGTGTAACGTTAGGCTTTCCATGTTATGTAAACCTACCACAGTTACCTAGGAGTTATCAGAACATTACTCTGCAGTGACATTAGTACATACAAGTGTGACGTATTAATTATAACACTGGAGATGATTGGCCATAACTTCAAATGATTTACGGAATTTAGATATCAAATTTTGTCAAACTCGATTTTAAAACTAAGTTTGTTATTATTTTATTTTTATTTTTTTGCAACCTTGTCCAGAATTATAGGGCTATAAATATATAATTCTGTATTACGGTTATAGTGTTTTAATAAATACAGCCGCAATGGTGTAACATAATTCCATGTTTTCGGTGAAACATCTAAACAACAAAAGGTTCCCTGTTTCAATGATAGACCTATAACACTTTAACAGGAATCCATCCATGTTTTTTTCTCTCCCTCTTTATTCCTCTATATCGTATAATAATTCAAATTGCATGTTTTTAAACCCTTCATAAATGATAAATTAATCCACAGAAAAATTAACAAATATATTCCTATAGCTATATAAATTAATAAATCTGTTTATAATTAAACTATATTTACCAATAATCATCACTTATGGGGGTCACTCTACATGAACCGGGCTAAGCAGTTACTTAAAGTTTAGGAGCGCTATAACCAAATCCAGTTAAACAATCATTACTACATTGTAGCTGTGGATCACGATAACCAACTCAAATTAAACAACCATTACTACATTATAGCTGTGGATCACGATAACCAACTCAAGTTAAACAATCATTACTACATTGTAGCTGTGGATCACGATAACCAACTCAAATTAAGCAACAGTCACTAGTTTGGGAACTATACCAAACTTAAGTTAAACAACACCCAACATTTGAAAGCTGCTATAATAAACTTGAGAAAGATAAGCATTTGAGAAATTCTATGGCAGGGAATGTGTGACTAGCCCTACTGACCTGTTTCTTGGCAGTGACCCACAGGTAAGTTGTGACTAGCCCTGCTGACCTGTTTCTTGGCAGTGACCCACAGGTAAGGTGTGACTAGCCCTACTTCCTACTTACCCGTTTTTCGGCAGTGACCCACAGGTAATGTGTGACTAGCCCTACTGACCTGTTTTTCGGCAGTGACCCACAGGTAAGGTGTGACTAGCCCTACTGACCTGTTTCTTAGCAGTGACCCACAGGTAAGGTGTGACTAGCCCTACTGACATGTTTCCGGCAGTGACCCACAGGTAAGGTGTGACTAGCCCTACTTACCTGTTTTTCGGCAGTGACCCACAGGTAAGGTGTGTCTAGCCCTACTGACCTGTTTCTTGGAAGTGACCCACAGGTAAGATGTGACTAGCCCTACTGACCTGTTTATTGGCAGTGACTCACAGGTAAGGTGTGACTAGCCCTCCTGACCTGTTTCTTGGCAGTGACCCACAGTTAAGGTGTGACTAGCCCTACTGACATGTTTCTTGGCAGTGACCCACAGGTAAGATGTGACTAGCCCTTCTGACCTGTTTATTGGCAGTGACTCACAGGTAAGGTGTGACTAGCCCTACTGACATGTTTCTTAGCAGTGACCCACAGGTAAGGTGTGCCTAGCCCTACTGACCTGTTTCTTGGCAATGACCCACAGGAAAGGTGTGACTAGCCCTACTGACATGTTTCTCAGCAGTGACCCACCGGTAAGGTGTGACTAGCCCTACTGACCTGTTTCTTGGCAATGACCCACAGGTAAGGTGTGACTAGCCCTACTGTCCTGTTTCTTGGCAGTGACCCACAGGTAATGTGTGACTAGCCCTACTGACCTGTTTCTTAGCAGTGAACCACAGGTAAGATGTGACAAGCCCTGCTGACCTGTTTCTTTGCAGGGACCCACAGGTAAGGTGTGACTAGCCCTACTGACCTGTTTCTTAACAGTGAACCACAGGTAAGATGTGACAAGCCCTACTGTCCTGTTTCTTGGCAGTGACCCACAGGTAAGGTGTGACTAGCCCTGCTGACCTGTTTCTTTGCAGGGACCCACAGGTAAGGTGTGACTAGCCCTACTGACCTGTTTCTTTGCAGTGACCCACAGATAAGTAGTGACTAGCCCTTCTGACCTTTCTTGGCAGTGACCCACAGATAAGGTGTGACTAGCCCTACTGACATGTTTCTTGGTAGTGACCCACAGGTAAGGTGTGACTAGCCGTGCTGACCTGTTTCTTCGCAGTGACCCACAGGTAAGGTGTGACTAGCCCTACTGACCTGTTTCTTGGCAGTGACCCACAGGTAAGGTGTGTCTAGCCCTACTGACCTGTTTCTTGGCAGTGACCCACAGGTAAGGTGTGACTAGCCCTACCGACCTGTTTCTTGGCAGTGACCCAAAGGTAAGGTGTGACTAGCCCTGCTGACCTGTTTCTTGGCAGTGACCCACAGGTAAGGTGTGCCTAGCCCTGCTGACCTTTCTACGCAGTGACCCACAGGTAAGGTGTGACTAGCTCTGCTGACCTTTCTTAGCAGTGACCCACAGGTAAGGTGTGACTAGCCCTACTGACCTGTTTCTTGGCAGTGACCCACGGGTGAGGTGTGTCTAGCCCTACTGACCTGTTTCTTGGCAGTGGCCCACAGGTAATGTGTGACTAGCCCTACTGACCTGTTTCTTGGCAGTGACCCAAAGGTAAGGTGTGACTTGCCCTACTGACATGTTTCTCGGCAGTGACCCACAGGTAAGGTGTGTCTAGCCCTACTGACCTATTTTTCGGCAGTGACCCACAGGCAAGGTGTATCTAGCCCTACTGACCTGTTTTTCGGCAGTGACCCACAAGCAAGGTGTATCTAGCCCTACTTACCCGTTTTTCGGCAGTGACCCACAGGTAAGGTGTGACTAGCCCTACTGACCTGTTTCTCGGCAGTGACCCACAAGGGTTCCCCGTCGTCCCACCAGTAGGCGTTATACTGTGCCTTATTGACCCCTATAAGGAAGGATTCGTTGTGTTTAGTGTCAAACATGTAGTTGCCGACCATGCCGTGGTCCTCACAATGTAGACCTGTAAAACATAACAGAGAAAATATTAAAAATGATCATGAATATTTACATTTGCATGGCATTGTCACTATATAGCCTCTTTGAAAGCTGTGTCGTTGATTGGACTTTAATTACCATGCATAACGAGACACAATTCTTAGCGTATTAATACGACACTGATCGGAACTACAATATCCAATATAATTAAACATGACGGCTGCTGAAATATCGCTTGGCATTGTGCGATTTGACAATGTCATTGTAAATTTATGTGCAAATAAAAAATAAAATAATAAAAACACTTTTAGTACAACGAAAACTAGACCAAGGTCTGCAATATCGTACAAAACGCACATCGGTTGAAATCACCAATGCCGGCAATGGAAACAATTTTAACGCTCATGCAATTTATCAGAAATATCGTCTGTTACACTGCACTGATCAACAGGGGTTAGTTACAAATGTCTGAAATACACATATGCTATAGACCTATTGACACATAAGTTACAGACCTACTGATATGATTCACAGCACACATACACATTTCAGACATTTGTAACGACCCTGTGCTCCGTCGCAAGATCACTCGCTTCAAACGCTATCAGTTTCACGCGTCTCGCATCCACAGTTTCTCAGTTTCTGACGACATGTCAAATAATGAGTCTGTTATAGAGTCTACCGACTGCTGTCAGGTTCCCATACAATCAACAAATAAATTCACGCCTGGATTCTTCACAAAATGAGCAAAGAGAAAAGTTCGAATTAACTTTCAAAAATAACTCCCTCGTGGAGGGCAAGGTCGGATTTACGGTGTTCACTGTATTTGTCCATGCGCGAAATTTGTTCCGGGAAAAATCGAAACAATTTCAAATCTAACTTTCAGCTCAGAGTTCTATTGATAAACTTAAATCACCCTATAGACATATCATACGCAATTGTATTGATACTGAATTGTGGAATAAAATTGAAGTGTTTGTTAAAATTTCAAAGTACTACTTTGTTTGCCAATCAGCACGCGACAATACGCTGTTCAAACTATTGAACGAAATTGTGTGGACTGTCGATAAGGTGGGCATTTTTAATTTTAAATATAAATTATAAGTTAAAAAAGAACATAAGAGGCAAAGAAAACGTAAATATAAGTATTGAACTGTTTTTGTATGGTATTTATGATCTATTTGAATGACACAGCTTTGCAGCGCGCGTTATGTTGTTTGCTTGCAAAGCTGTGTCATTCAAATAGATCATAAATACCATACAAAAACAGTTCAATGCTTAATTAACTACAAATGGTATATTCATTATAATAAAGTGAACAAGCTCTACCAATAGCACTGCCAAAATGAGCTAAAATCAAACCAGCTCAATATAGAACGACATGTAGCTGGACCAGTATGGGCAGACTGAGTTAACATAAAATCCGCACCAATCAAGCGCACCCTCTTGTCGTTCGGAACATTGCTAGACTTCTCATTAATAATTACGTCGGGACAGCATTCGGAGTTCCCTAGAGTCGTTGAGGAGGCAGGGGGAAGCTTTAATGGGCACAAAGTAAGAGTTTAACTTGATAAAATGTTTGTTGATGGTGTGCTGTACACGGGCCAGACGAGTTCTCAAAGCTCTCCAGTCAAATTGAGCAAGTTGACTATTTTATTGAGTATATTGATGTTTTTGCATCAGTTTTCCTGAAATTGTTTAATGCCATACTTACATAAAGCTTGGTCAAAAGGAGTTATTATACCTCTGCATAAAAAAGGTGATAGAAACGACGTAAAGAATTATAGAAGATTTATTGAAGATTTATGCAGAAAAGTGTGTGAAATTTATTTTTTAATGAGAAAATTTCCATTTTTAACACGTTAATTTAGAACTAAAACTAGTCTTTTTTTCTCACTTACTGGAAGTTGGCTTCCATTGATATCTTTCAACATAAGGAATTTCAGAAAAAATTAACAACCGGTAAATTTGTCATTTAACAGTTTTGGTTCAAAAAAAAGAAAAACAACTTTCTTTCCACATTTCATTTAACTTGTGTTTCTTCATGACTAAATGTCCTTGGGTTTTGATATTTAGCAAGTAGGTTGTTGATGTATATGAGTTTAGGTGTTGTAAACGTTGATGACCTTGACCTTCGTTCAAGGTCACAAAAATCAAATGTGCTGAAATACAATTTTTGTATGGGGAGTCAGACAAGGATAGATTTCCTTGCTTATTTGTTTAGAGTTAACGATATAAAATACTGTAATATTCCTTCATATTTTGTTTAATGAGTGGGCAAAAGGCAAAAAAAATAATAACTAGAACTTTAAGCCAAATACTAACTAATATCCCCGCTGAAATCGTCCTAGTAGTTAAGGTAATAAAGATTGTGTCGCTATTTCTCAGTAGAATTTCTTCAAGTTTTGTTGTTATATTGCTTTGAAGTAAAGACAATATTCTGCCACAAATATAATATAGGTTGTCAGAACTTTAAGGATTTTAAATGGAAATTTATGTAAAAAGGCGTGAATTCTGAAAAAAATTGAAACACACAATGTTTTGCAAAATAATGTCAATAAACATGATACTGACATATATTAGTATTGCATTAATGTATATCAATTTCATAAATGCTGAAATTGTGTAAAATCAATTATCTATAAACGATAAAAAAAATTGACATTTTATGATAAAACCATATACACATAGTAATTGCATGTAAGAGTTATCGATCTTGAAAAACTTCACAGTAGCGAAATAGGTAGCCGGTTTCCTGAAGTACAGACAAATGGACACATGTGACTCATTGATTAAAAAACAAATGAATTAATGCCTGGATTGCTTCGAAATACTTTAATATTGAAAAAAACACTGTTCTGTCAATAATAAACATACAATATTCATCAGTTTAATATTAAACATTAGATTGTGCGGAAATTGTGATACTGTCTCCCTACATTGGATTTTCAACTAGGGATGTACTTCCCATTTCTGTTTTGCAATACACTCCTATGACCTTAAGGAAGAGTTATTTTCAAGACAAAGATTTTTTTAACAAAGGGCCATATCTCCTTAAAAAGGGTCAAAATGAAAAGAAATACTACCCTGATGCAAGTTTTTTTTAAGAAGGGTCATAACTCCTTTTTAAAGGGTCGGACTGAAAACATACTACTTGGATGCACAATGTCAGGGGGCAGTTACCATATCTGTAAACTTCCGTTGAAATTGGCCTCATAGTTTTGGAAGAGTTGTCTGGACAAGCATTTTTCAACAAAGGGCCATTACTAAATCAAAAAAAGGATCAGATTGAAAAAAGAATACCTGGATGCACACCACCAGATGGTAGTTACCATATTTGAAAACTTTCGTTGAAATTGACCCCTTAGTTTTGGAGGACATGTCCGGACAAGGGTTTTTCTACACAGGGCCATAACTTTAAAAAAAAAAAGGGTCAGGATGAAAATAATAATACCTGGATGCACGACTGCAGGTGTTAGTTATCATATCTGGAAACATGCGTTGAAATTGGTCCACTACTTCAGAAGGAGTTGTCCAGACAAACGTTTTCTACGGACAGATAGGCGGACGGACAAGCTGATTCCAACACACACACACACCATACCCATAACTTCGTTGCGGGGGTGGGGTATAATAAAGTGTATAACAGTTTTATTATTAAGATTATTTTCTTATTTTTATATAATTGCATAACTTTGTCCATAACACAATCTATAACTAAAGTAGTTCTCCAGAAGAAAGATTACTTTGGCAAAATACATATTCATGAGTTGTAACTGCTGCACATAACTTTAAAACATGCGTAATATAATAAAGTGTTTTGGTATGATACAAAAACAGAAAATGTATCGGTATTATCATAAACATCGATAGTCAAATCTTCAAGGTTATGTGAAATTTGCCATTGATCATGTTTGGCATGCTAACAAGTACTTTCCCGGTTTTGATATTACATAAAAATGATTCTGTAGACAGAATACATATATGGGAAGTTTTTAAAGAAGTTTCAAATATAGACTACTATTGTAACTATATAAAGGCAAGTTGACAATGTTGGTTATATTTTTAATTTTTATGAAAATTTTGCATGTTTTTTCTAATTAAAAGTATCACTACGCTTACTTCATGTATACCAATATGACATATTTAGTATCAAAATAACAGTAACTTATACACTGTACACTATCAAAATTCATTTTCAAAATAACATTCGCCTGTGACATTTATCGGTCATTTTGTTAGGATACCCCCGTCACTCAACCTGGTGTTATGCAAGGAGGTCCACTACGGTTATCAGTAGTAATTATGAATAATTGTTTATGCAGGTATTGATAACTTTTATGTATCTACAAAAGAATAAACGAAATCAAAGTGGGGGCCAAATGTTGACCCCACCTTTAGATGTTGTAATATAAAATTTCCCATTGAAACGGGTAGGTGGCATAATATTCAAAAACAAGACCGAAAATGCACTCTATGTAAAAATGATCTAGGCGACGAATTTCATTATTTATTCAAATGTACAAATTCAATAACTGTAGAGCTTAGAGAAAAATATATTCATTTGTATTATAGAAAAAAATCCCTCTCAAATTAAAATGAGTGGTCTGTTGTCATTTTGTAACACGACTGTATTAAATGGAATTTGTCTTTTGTTGGGAAAAAATAACAAACTGTTGTAATAAGCATGTCATACAAGCTATTGATAATGGATCATGCATACTGTTTTGTGTACTTGCCATCCATTTTGTCATCACATGTGTATTATGATACTCTGATACCTCCTGTTGTACATTGTAATGTATCTGAGGAAAAACAATAAACTTGTAAACTTGAGAAAAAAATGTGTATTTTATTTTAAAAGCAGTATGAATGAAGGACATCCGCTTTGAAAATAAACATTTTTCTTCCTTTTTCAAACATTATGAAATAATTAGAAATATTCTTGTACAATGTATATTCCAATACTTCTTTTGAATTGTCAATTATGACTACTACGACTGTTATTCCCTTAAACTTGTTTAATGTCACGGAGTAGCAACTTGTGCCAAGTATTTTTATCTGTAGGGAATTAAGCATGCTTAGGAATCTCACAACAGAAAATGACAGGTTGGAAACTGATGAACTTTTGCATATTGTCAGCCGGAGGCAAAGACACTAATTATAGACCATACAAATTAAAACGGACGGCCGTCTGGAGATTATAATCACATAGTGTGTAATTGGATTTCGAAAGGTGACTGTCCGGGTTTTCCTAAAATTAAAATTAATCATTTCAACCACTTAAACAAGTTTCATTGATTATTGTAGCAATACAGCATATATGTTTACAAATATACATTATTAAATATTCAAAATTCATATGTAATGTACAAGATGGCGGAGGACAATTCCATTCAAATATATATATGCCTACAGACATGTATTAATGATATCACGTGCAGTTTTACAGCATGATGTTTCGTAAAGTTGTTGAAAGGACAGTATATCACAATATAATTATATATATGTGACGTCATGAAATAATGACATCATAATGAAAACACTACATCACTTCAAACAGCCAGAAAGAACCATGGGATGTCATTAAAGTACTATTTAACGCGCTATTAACGAATATTAAATAACTATTATTATACATGTACACTTATAACAAAGTAGTTTCAAATAATATTTTAATATAATATCACTACAGAGCGAGGAGAATTTTCCTTTTAGCAGTAGCGTGCAACAAATATTTACCCAGTCTATTTAAAGATTTAACAGTTTTACAGGTAAATAATTATATTAGTTTATAGACACTTGGATGTCGATAATAATACTGTTTGATGTACGTTTTTCTTAAATCAGAATATGCAGGACAAAGTAGTACAAAATGTACTTCATCTTCGACATCTTATTATCGCAGACTGTATATATTCTCTAACCTCTTGGAATGTTATTATTGCGATTTAAGATTATCTAAGATTGTGTACTTGCATGCAAAATTGACTCAATAACTTTCTTACCCTAAAATTAATGGGTTTAGTCAGATATAACTGGATGCAAAAGGTATCAACAAGATGCTTGTACAAATAACATTGTAATAATCCTATTTGTTCAACGTCTGATGTTTTCAACCAATAAAATAAAAACTTAACAATGCAATGTCTGATATATTTCTTGCTAAATAATGCATACATATAATAAATATTAAAACGTCATAAGTACCTGTCATGATAGAATAGTAGTTTGGATAGGACAGTGATGGGAAATCCGGCTGAAGGTATTCCGCCCTAGTTCCCTCACTTATCATTCTTTGGAAACCGGGAAGATTGATCTCCTGTCGGTCAAAATAATCCCAACGGAAACCATCTAACAAAAACAGGAGCAGCTTGTTGTCCTTCTTTATGGAATGTGCGGAGACACTCTCAAATATAATACATATTAATAACAAGTGATAAATACATTTAAAACGGCAAGTACTTCCCTTCATAGTGTCCGCGCGCGCTGTAATCCTTCCACCTTATACATGTAAATTTACGTTCGATAAGCTGGGACAATCCACGTGAAGCGGAAGTTAAAAGGTTGCGCTGTTGTTCCTATAGCGCGTTCACTATTAAAGAGATATGACCACGTTTAAAAGGACAATTTCGATTCGATATGTTTATATATAAAGATACAGGTAGACAGGTATGAAGATATTGCCCCAAAGCTGGGTGCTAACTTCCTGGTCCCAGTTTGTTATGACACGGTGCACCTTGCGCGTGTCCGAAAGTCCCGGGGGCCCGGGTCGTCTATATACCCAGAGAACGGTGGTACATACACATGTATGCTTGTCTGTATCCTGATTGCGAATGACAATTCTAGCACAACACACTTTAAATACATATGTACATGTACTTATTTATGGACAGTGATTGTTTTGAAGTGACGCTGATTTCCATCTCAAAACCTGATTGGCTGACTTTAACTGTAGATAGTATGCATAAAAGAAAACTGTCGCTTTAAGGGAATATTTTCGTTTCAACAAAGGGAGATGTTCCGTAACGTAAGTGTATCTGCCTCTCTGCGAATGTGACAGATCGCCCTGTAATACGTCTGCGGTACAAAGGCTACATCTGCACTAAGCTGCGAGTTAAAATCTCATTATGATACATTAATGGAGTCAGTAAGGCCATAGGTGATATGCTCATCTCTAATGTAAGGTTTGACACCTACAGTTGACCCTCACTATGAACATTTATCGCTGGAACTACTAGAAAACAAAGGAAATGTTAACTTTAAAGTTCATTAAGCTTCCCACGACCTAAATCTTAGACCCATTTAAAAATAAATAAAATGTAATACTTTTTGCAGCTACAGTAACGAACCGAAATAGAATTAAAGACGTTTATTTTGCGTTACATTGTGTAGGGGAAGTGACATTTATAACATTGTTTGAAATAAAATTGGAAAAAAGAGACATAAAAAACAAAACAGCGAGGGTATGGAAGAATCAAATATGATTGTTTTTAAACAATAATATATGGTAAAGGAATTTTCTATAAATTACACTTCAAAAATTGGTCAGATAATTGGTCTCCGTTATTTTCTTGATCTCAATTGGGTGAAGCATGTTTTTAAGGCTGAATTAATCAGACTGATATCCGTGTTTAAAATTAAAAACACATTGTTTTGTTTGTTTACAAATTAGGGTCATATTTTATTAAGTGATATATCGCCTATAAGAGTAACAAAAAATATTGAATTCGTTCGATTAGTATTGGAAATACCAGATAAACCTTAGACCGTACCTTGACTAATATTTTGTGTAGCATTCATTATTTTTTATTATTGCTACATTATATTTCTGTTAGGCATGCTATGATTAAGTTATTTAAAGAACATTTTGGCTAATGAGTACCAAACCCTTTGCCTTGAGCATTCCAAAGTTCCGTAATGTTTTGTCGACATGCCTCTTGTCAGCCTTTGTTTATGTGATTCAAATGTTTCCGATCGGGTACATGTCAGGAATATTTCTCCGCCATGGTAATGTTTTATTCTACTTTGTTCTAAAATGTTTTGAAGTTCATCGAATTTTGACAGAGAGCAAAAACTTAACGAAAGATATAATTCTTTTGAGAGGTCACCAAATATTCGGAAAGAAACCATCTACATTATTTTTGAACTTTTCTTTCTGGTACCGACCTCAGTTTGCAAATACACTGTGTACCTACCTAACAGATACACTGTGTACCTACCTAACAGATACACTGTGTACCTACCTAACAGATACACTGTGTACCTACCTAACAGATACACTGTGTACCTACCTAACAGATACACTGTGTACCTACCTAACAGATACACTGTGTACCTACCTAACAGATACACTGTGTACCTACCTAACAGATACACTGTGTACCTACCTAACAGATACACTGTGTACCTACCTAACAGATACACTGTGTACCTACCTAACAGATACACTGTGTACCTACCTAACAGATACACTGTGTACCTACCTAACAGATACACTGTGTACCTACCTAACAGATACACTGTGTACCTACCTAACAGATACACTGTGTACCTACCTAACAGATACACTGTGTACCTACCTAACAGATACACTGTGTACCTACCTAACAGATACACTGTGTACCTACCTAACAGATACACTGTGTACCTACCTAACAGATACACTGTGTACCTACCTAACAGATACACTGTGTACCTACCTAACAGATACACTGTGTACCTACCTAACAGATACACTGTGTACCTACCTAACAGATACACTGTGTACCTACCTAACAGATACACTGTGTACCTACCTAACAGATACACTGTGTACCTACCTAACAGATACACTGTGTACCTACCTAACAGATACACTGTGTACCTACCTAACAGATACACTGTGTACCTACCTAACAGATACACTGTGTACCTACCTAACAGATACACTGTGTACCTACCTAACAGATACACTGTGTACCTACCTAACAGATACACTGTGTACCTACCTAACAGATACACTGTGTACCTACCTAACAGATACACTGTGTACCTACCTAACAGATACACTGTGTACCTACCTAACAGATACACTGTGTACCTACCTAACAGATACACTGTGTACCTACCTAACAGATACACTGTGTACCTACCTAACAGATACACTGTGTACCTACCTAACAGATACACTGTGTACCTACCTAACAGATACACTGTGTACCTACCTAACAGATACACTGTGTACCTACCTAACAGATACACTGTGTACCTACCTAACAGATACACTGTGTACCTACCTAACAGATACACTGTGTACCTACCTAACAGATACACTGTGTACCTACCTAACAGATACACTGTATACCTACCTAACAAATACACTGTGTTCCTACCCCTAACAAATACACTGTTGACCTACCTAACAGATACACTGTCTACCTGCCTAACAGATACACTGTATTCCTACCCCTAACAGATACACGATGTACCTACCTAACAGATACACTGTGTACCTACCAAACAGATACACTGTGTACCTACATAACAGATACACTGTGTACCTACCTAACAGATACACTGTGTACCTACCTAACAGATACGCTGTGTAACTACCTAACAGATACACTGTGTACCTACCCCTAACAGATACACTGTGTACCTACCTAACAGCACCAAAGAGGAAGCTTTTGAATAACGATAGCCGTTTCTTCGTTGATATTTACAGAGAGTTGCATTCACACAATAAATTCATTGAATACCACCCGATTAATCGATGAAATAAATCAGGTAACAGCTCTTTGTCGTTTGTCGATTGGTTACCGAAAGATAACCAAACCCTATTAAATTTGTTCCTAATTGTCATAATATGTTAGATAATTTATTTCATTCGAAGAGAATCATTACATTTATCAGTTTTACACACAAATGATATAGATATTGTATGTCTGACCAACGACTATATTGGTAAAATTTCTTTTTAAACCAATAGAAATGTTGTAATAAGATGTTCAGGTAGAAATGCTCAATAATGTCTCTTTTTCTTTATCATTTCACGCTAAGGCTCGCGCTTGTGGTCGCCACTGGCTCCAATGGCGGAAGTAAAACATGATTGTCGATGAGGGGCTTAAATTTAAGTTACTGTCGACAATCGAATTTTTATTAGCGATAACTGTTTCTAGAGCAATTGTTACAGGTAAATTAAGCCCTTCGACATCCTTACGATGTCACGGCTGAATGCATTTTCGATGAATGGCAAGGTCAGGTATTGGAACTCTTTTGTGTTTTGACAAAATGGTCACCTGTAGACACAACGACTCCGTCTGATATCAAAATCGCCAATTATCGAATTATGGCTACATTGTCTAGTTCCGAGGGGTGCTCTGTGGAGAACAATAGGGTAAGTTAGGGTCGAGAAAAGGGTTGTTTTAATTGGATTAGGGTAGATAAATCGGTGTGTTCTCCTTTCTCCCACTTTTTATAAAAATCATAGAGGCATTAATGTTGTGATAGTTATAGTTATAGTCTGTTTCATATATATTTTACCTGTTCTCCCACATTACCTGTATCATATATACAGTACTGTCATATGTACATGTAGTTTAGATATAGTATATTTTCATCATTTTTAGACATTTTTTTCACATTATATTACATTTTCATCAGCTAGATCTATACAAAACAGTAACGTGAAATCCACGAATATTTTATATATTTAATAGTATAATTTTTATGTAAGCCTGTCCCTTTAGGGGACTGAGTTAGGGGCCGAAAAGGGGGGTTGGGGTAAAAATCTTCTTCTCTATTTAAAAATAATGCCAGTATCAAATACTACCCATAGCTGTAAAAGCGTTTGGGTGGTTTATGAAAAATTGTGATTTCCATGGCTACCTGTAGGCCCCCCGTTTGCCCCTGGTGAGGGGATGAAAAATATAGTTTATATATGAAATATACAAAATAGGCCATATCTTCCAATGTTTTGAACGGAGTTTGCTCATATTTGACTGAAATACTTGTGAGGGGAGGAAGGTATGCTGGTATACTTTTTGTGACCCTGACCCCCTAGGGGGCTGGGTTTGGGGTGAAAAAAGAGGCGAATTTCAAAAACCTTCTTCTGTAGTTCCAGAAATGCTAGTATCAAATACTACTCATAGTTGTATAGGCCTTCGAGTGGTTTATATACTTTGTGATTTTCATGTCCCCAAGATCCCTCGTTTGCCTTTGGGGAGGGGGTAAAGTTTGGTATTGTGTATATAGACAATTCGACAAATGAACGGCCATCACATACTTTTCATCTCAAACCCAACTAATGTGCTAGTAATAGTAACAACCTTAATTCTTTATGAATTATAAAGTCTCCATAGTAACGCTTCCAAGTTCTTACCCTGCATGTCTGAAGTGGTTACAAATTGGCATTACAGAGCAAATGTAAATATTGTGCCATGATTGCTTTAATAACCAGGTGAGCGATACAGGCCCCCTTGGCCTCTTGTTTGCATTTTATAGTGACATTGTGATAAATGTGCTTGTTATGGAATTTTTATTTGGTGCTTTGGTAGAATTTCTCAAAATTATGGACTTTTCATTATCATTGCTTTTTAGGAATATTTCACCTTTAGTAAGTTAGTGCTATTATATTAGTTTTATATCATG